TATATATAGTTTTGTTGTTGCACGTTTGCATTGGCCGGAATGCCAGCCACAGAACTTGGTTTAAATTCTTGATTGCTAATAAATGTATTTTTAGTTTAACTAATTGATGATTGTGTATCATTATCCCTAAGATGAGTATCAAGTCAGTTACGATTCTGGACAGATCCATGGCCGTGATAAAAGAAACCAGGAACATATGCTTTATACGGGAATTTTTTAAAGGAAGTATTAAAGCCTTACTTTATAAAAATAAGAATAAAAATCAAAAATGCAGCAGCCTTTGCTACCCACAGCATAACAGTCATGATTATTATTATGGATCTAAAATTTATCATTTTAGTAAAAGTGTCTAAAGTTATTCCTAATACATTTTTTTATAATTCCCTTTTATTTTATCTAGTCAAATAAAGCATGTGTTAATATTTTTGTTAAACCATTTTTTTTTAAAATAGGTTATGAACATTCAGGGAAGATACCTTTTTATAGGCAAATTAAGGTGTAATCTAGTAAAAAGAAGCTTTTTAACCTAAGTAGTTTTTTGAAAATGGATAAATTTCCAGTACTTATCTGCCCTATTAATCAATGCTGGTGTCAACTAAATACTTGAACAGTTAATAGTTGTAACTTTAGATTTCCTTGACCTGCCCTTAACAGCAATGTCTAATTTGTTGTTTGGTGGATTGTTTATGTATTTAACTTTTGTTTTCTAAAGTATTTTGTATTATGTGTTTATATATAACAATGTTGGAATTATTTGTCCCTCGGTTATATGTTTTACATCACGTGACCATGTTATTGTATTATTTTTTTCATTTGAGTTTTTGTTGTTGTTGTTGCAACAAAACTTTTGCACACAAAGTATGAAAGAATAATATTATTAAAACAATGTTATGGTGTCACACTATTTCAATATTATAACTAGGCTATAGCCACCATTGGTGTATTATTATAATACACTAATGGCAGTTCAATTTTTTTAAGCAAGTGTCAGTTATAAATATAGGTATGTTCGTCTCAATCAGTAATTTAAAAATAAATACTTTTTGTATTGATTCAACTTTTGTTTAACTAGTGATAATTTTGATATGGGGTTTGTTAAGCAATCTGGCCAGTTGTTTGGCATAACCCAGGTTAAAAATAATAAATTTATTAAAAGCAAACCAATATTAATGTAGTATTGGTAGCTATATTATCACTATGTTTTATAATGTAATAATATATATTGTTTAGTTATCTGTGTTATAAATTGTTAAACCAAATCAAATTAATGCAAATATAAAAATAAATCGGGTCCCAGCTAGGTAAGATGGTGTTGGGGGTAATTATCAGAATTATCACCCCTACAAGGGGGTGACAGGAATTAAGGAATCACCCTTAATTTTGAAAGATTTTGAAAGATTTACCTTGAATCAATCTGTGGTTGGTATGCTAGGGAGCCTGGGTTTGTTGATTATAGGTTGATTCAGCAGAAAGTCCACATTCTGCACAGTATATTCTGCACAACACACTGAAATGGACTTTTGTGTTAATATATTTATTGTATTTTTTTAGTGGGGGAAGAGGGGGATTCTGTTTGGGTATGAAGTGCCCTTACAAAAAACTTTTGTTACTCTGGTACTTTTGAGCATTAACCTGCTCAAATAACTCACCCTCAAGTATGTTATATTAGTGTTTTAACCTCTTGCCCTAGCAAACATCTTTATGTTCACAAGGTAAATGGACTCTTTATATGTCCAAACAATAAAGCTAATTTATCCTCCAAAATGGGATCTAAGGGGCTTGATGTAAACAGGCTATAACACATTTGTGAGCCAGCCTGTCACTCCCGTTCAATTTCTTTGATTAAGGAAAATCAAAAAGACTTAGTTCCTGACTTGAAAGCCCTGCACAAGGAAAAATAAAAGTATTGTAAAACCAATTTGGAGGTTAAAACTCTCCATGTTGATGTTCCCTTCAAAAAACATCAGGGAACTGATTAAACCCTTCAAATTGATTTTGTAGGACCACTCTCTCTTACACAAAAGGTGGCTGGTAGTGGATCAGTTTTACAAAGTGAGTAAAAAGCTTTCCCCCAAAAGATTAACTGCCACTGCTAAGGTTCTGGTAGAACAGATGTTTTTTCACTGGAAGGTCTCATCAAAAACATCCCACTTTATTAGTTATGTATTTCAAAACAGTTTTATAATATAATTTAACAAAAGTTCCACTTTCTTTATCACCCAAAGGTTTTGGGGATAGCATAAAGAACCAAATTACCAAATTAAAAGCTGGTAAATGCTTATGGCAATTTGGGGTTTTTTAATTCCCATAATTTTAAATGGCTTTTAGAATAACTTTTGCTGCCTCAACTGGCTGATCACCTTTTGAGGTAATGACCAAAAGAGAAATGGAATTTGAGCAATCCAGTATCTCCCAAATTAAGAAAATTAAAATGGCTACATACCTGCAATCCTTGCACAACCATATACACAAAGTGCACCGGTATGTAGTGGTTTTAATAAAGCAAACAAATAAAATAAAATAATTGGGAAGTTGGTAACCAAGTCATGCTCTTTTCATATAATGTATTAAAGTATGATTGCTGCCACAGGTGGTTAAAACCATATAATGTTATTAAGGAGCTTTATTTATTTGAATATAAAATTTAAATCACTGGTAACAAACAAAAGGTAAATAAAGTTTTACCATGCTAAATCAACTAAAGCTGTACCAGGAAAAAAAAAAGACGTATCTTTGCGGGTATCCAACAATCCAGGATCCTCAGAGGAGACCGAAGTTGGAACTGGCTCACAGCAAAACGCAGCTGGTAGCATTGTTCCTCCTCTGCAGCAGCCTTGGCATCCTGACAGGTGGCTCAGTGTGGCACCGGGCCTGTCAAGTAAATGTAGACTCTTAACCTCCAGTATTTGACCCCCACGTGGAGAAAATGGACGATTTCGGGGTCTGAACTCTCACATATTAAAATAGGTGTAAACCCTCCCCTTGGGGTGGATAAGTGGTTAAAATAACCCAGAACTATAGGTAAGGCTACAGGCCGTAGTTGCACTGTTCCACTTTGCTGTTACTCTCGCCTTAACAGTTTCTTTGCCTTCTTCCCCTAACAATTCTTTTAATTGTGTCACTCCACCCATAGACCTGGAATAGTTTGCTGCTCTACCTTCCTCCCTGCTCCATTGCATCTGAAGTAGCCTCACTCTCTCTCAAATTCCTCCCTCTTCTTTTGCTAGCTCTCTACTAACTAATCTATTCCTGATCTGGTATCCGATATTTTAAAAAGTTTCCAAAACATAAACATTTAAAAAATTGTCACAACTCTATGAAATGAGCAAAACAATGAATACAATTTGCTTTCTATGAATACCAGCCATCTCCCAAGAGCCACATTCTTTTCCATTCATAGCTGATGCCAGACCTTTCCAATCATTATGGCTGGCCATCATTCATTGTATTGTCTAGCTAATATAGATTGTAAGCTCCTCAGGGCAAGAACTTTGTCTTTTTAGAAGTCTGTAAAGCAGTGCACCAAGTACATCAATGTCATTCTGTGCATAATAGATAATTATGAATGCTGGGTCCTGTGGCACCTTTGAGACTAACAGAAGTATCGGGAGCATAAGCTTTCGTGGGTAAGAACCTCACTTCTTCAGATGCAAGTAAGATGAGGTTCTTACCCACGAAAGCTTATGCTCCCAATACTTCTGTTAGTCTCAAAGGTGCCACAGGACCCTCTGTTGCTTTTTACAGATTCAGACTAACACGGCTACCCCTCTGATACTATGAATGCTGGAAATATCCTCCCTTCCCTCTCTGTCTCCTCTGCACTGACCTCATTGCAAGAATGAATACAGCAACACACAATGTTCACAACAGCTTCAAAGACACAAAGAAGTCCAGAATTTTTGATCCAGAGATACTACAGGAAAGGTTTTGTGTGTTCCTAGCAAGTCCCAGGAGGTAGTTAAGCTATAGTTGAACTTTGGATTCCAATACACAGACTTAAAAAAAAATCAGGCATCTCCTAAGGAACTAAACTGCCATTAGAATTAAGCTATTATAATTAGCCATCATCACAGCTGTTATTATATTGAGACTACAACAATTAGCCTTCATAACAAAGAAGTTTTATTAATGCCAGGCCCTTCTAGATATAACAAGACAGAACAGAACTACACAACCCCTTTCTGGTTTAAAAAAACCCATACAATTCTACTTTCACTTTAAAAAAAAGATAGACTGACAGATGCACCCATCAGTAGGCACCATTTTGGCCAAGTTGACTGTCATACATGCACACAGAGCTTTGTTTAAGGGAAAATTTGATATTTCCAGACTCAGACTCTTATGATAGCTTAGGTCAAACCCTGTAATAAAAACATTTGCAGTGGCCAACTCTAAAATACTAAGATGCAAAACTTCTATTGAAAAAGATCAGTTCATTAGAGAATTCAAGTTATCTACTCTGGAGCCCAGCTCCCCATTCTCATCAAAGTTGTGTTTATTTCTGCTTGTTTTGCTGTCCAGTGAGACCAAGGTTGCAGAGTCTTGCAAGTGTAACTTAACTGAAATTAATAACTCTTGTTTACCTTGTTGGAGGAAAGCAACTCTCTTACCCTCAAAAGCTGTCAAACAGCAAACTAAATAGAGATGAGACTAGTGCTCTAAAACTGGATTTAAAAGTAACAGAATGAGTTCGCAGTATCGTGGTCCTTTTAACTGAATAGAAAAAAATGCTTTAGAGACTGAAATAAGAGCCTATGCCCAAATTCTGCCCTTGTTTATTTATATATGTACAATTTCACTGAAATCACTGAGGTTTCACAGATATAACAGAGAGCAGTATCTGATAAATTTGTAAGACATTTTAATAAGGGATTAGGCACAATCCAGAAGCCAGTTTGGCAGATATCATTAGAGAGAGACCATGGTTAGCTTATTCTCTAAAAATCAAATATGTGTGATTCCTTATTTATGTCTGAAAACAGAATATCTTGCCAATACAGAATATACTGATCGTTTAATGGAATGGCCAGCGGTACAGAGCAACTCTACAATTCACAATCAACAGGAGCATGAGACGCACAAGTGACCCAACTGAAGCTCAACACTGTGTACATTTTCTCTTCGGGTGCAAGTAGTCCAGCTCAAAATCTGGTTCAAGTTCACAGACTAGCCCATTTTGTAACATACCAGCACCACCATATAAATAAACATGATTTAAATGTCATTTTGTGAGAGTCCAAAAATATTGGCGCACTCATCCCAGATTAAGGAGCTGGAATTGACCAGACATTGATCACATTTTTAATTCAACCCAGTGATCCATAAAATTCAGAAAACTGACCTCCTATTCCAACCCATTCAGGCCATTATGAAAATGTGATGGGACTCAGACGACCTAGCACTGTTTGACTGACTAGGGACTTTGTAAGTCATCTAGCATTGAACAATGACAAGTTGGGTTACATAAAGTACTGTGTACAAACAGGGCGGCAAACAGGCAGGAAAACAGGGACCTATCACAGCTACAGAAAAAGGTTGAATCCATAGGTGCCCAAGATTGAGGAGAGACTGAAAAACCAAAGCTCAGTTTTTGTGCTTATTTTATCTTGTCTATGGGAGTGACTTCTAGCATGTTCTCTCTGGCCTGGTCTACACTATGAGTTTAATTCCAATTTAGCAGCGTTAAATCAAATTAACCCTGCACCCGTCCACACAACGAAGCCATTTATTTCTAAATAAAGGGCTCTTAAAATCGATTTCTGTACTCCTCCCCGATGAGCGGAGTAGCGCCGAAATCGATATTGTCATTTCGAATTAGGGTTAGTGTGGCCGCAATTCGATGGTATTGACCTCAGGGAGCTATCCCACAGTGCACCATTGTGATCACTCTGGACAGCAATCTGAACTCGGATGCACTGGCCAGGTAGACAGGAAAAGCCCTGTGAGCATTTGAATTTTATTTCCTGTTTGCCCAGCACAGGAAAGCACAGGTGACCACAGAGAACTCATCAGCACAGGTAACCATGCAGGCCGATAATCGAAAAAGAGCACCAGCATGGACCGTACGTGAGGTACTGGATCTGATCACTATATGGGGAGAGGATTCAGTGCTAGCAGAACTTCGTTCGAAAAGACGAAATGCCAAAACTTTTGAAAAAATCTCCAAGGGCATGATGGAGAGAGGCCACAATAGGGACTCAGAGCAGTGCCGCGTGAAAGTCAAGGAGCTCAGACAAGCCTATCAGAAAACAAAGGAGGCAAACAGTCGCTCCAGGTCAGAGCCACAGACATGCCACTTCTATGCTGAGCTGCATGCAATTCTAGGGGGGGCCGCCACCACTACTCCACCTCTGACCGTGGATTCCAAGGCGGGGGTAATCTCATCAGCCACACCTGAGGATTCTGCGGACAGGGAGGAGGAGGAGGAGGAGCTTGCGGAGAGCACACAGCATTCCGTTCTCCCCAACAGCCAGAATCTTTTTCTCAGCCTGAGTGAAGTACCCTCCCAAGCCAGTATCCAAGACCATGATCCCATGGAAGGGATCTCAGGTGAGTTTACCTTTTAAAATATAAAACATGGTTTAAAAGCAAGCATTTTTTAATGATTAATTTGCCCTGAGGACTTGGGATGCATTTGCGGCCAGTACAGCTACTGGAAAAGTCAGTTAACGTGTCTGGGGATGGAGCGGAACTCCTCCAGGGACATCTCCATGAAGCTCTCCTGGAGGTACTCCAAAAGCCTTTGCAGAAGGTTTCTGGGCAGTGCAGCCTTATTCCGTCCTCCATGGTAGGACACTTGACCACGCCATGCTAGTAGCAAGTAATCTGGTATCATTGCATGACAAAGCCTGGCAGCGTATGGTCCCGGTGTTTGCTGGCATTCAAGCAACATCCGTTCTTTATCTCGCTGTGTAATCCTCAGGAGAGTGATATCACTCATGGTAACCTGGTTGAAATATGGGAATTTAATTAAGGGGACAGAGGTGGCCATTCCTACTGGGCTGTTTGCCAGTGGCTGAAAAGAAATCCTTCCCTGTAGTAAGCTAAGCGTGGGGGGAGGGGCGAATTGGCGCTGAGCTTTTCACGTGTGGCTAGCAGGGATCTTCCCTGATACCAGCCACGTGGTGGGGGGAGGGATAAAGTGATCATCCCAGAGAACTGGATGGGGGGGGGGTTAGTTAGTTTTCTGCTGCTGAAGGTTAACAGGAAAACCGCAGCACTCAACAGGCTTTGCCTGGTATGTGGGAAAGGAGGGCGCAGAAGCCGAAAGACAATGCCTTACCATGGCCACATGCAAGCCGAATTCTGTTGCCCGGGCCTGCGTCTGTGATCTCTAGCAGCAAAGCCACAGGCACTCAATATTAAGAGGCAAAATGCGACCTTGCACAGAAATCACATGTGCTATGTAATGTGAATAGTGTTGTTCACCATGAAAGAGTATAAGCATTGTTCTGTAAAATGTATCTTTTTAAAAAATTCTCTCCTTTTTTCCCTCCCTTCAACAGCTGCAAATTTTTCAAGCCTCCCTCCTCCGTCCCAAAGGCTATCTCAGATAAGGTGTCGGAAAAAGAGGACGCGAGATGAGATGTTCGCGGAAATCATGGAATCCACCCACAATGAAAGAGCTCATCTGAATGAGTGGAAGGACACGGTTTCAAAGTATAGGAAAGATGCCAGTGAACGTGAGGACAGAAGGGACCAACGTGAGGAGAGGAAAGACGCTTGAGATGAGAGGTGGCAGCAGGAAGATCAGAGGAGGCAGGATGCAACGCTGGGGCTGCTGCGTGAGCAAACAGACATGCTCTGGCGTCTGGTGGAGCTTCAGGAATGGCAGCAGGATCACAGACTGGCGCTCCAGCCCCTGTATAACCCCCCTTCCCATGTTCCATAGCCTCCTCACCCAGACGTGTAAGAATGCGGGGGCGGGGGGGAGGAAGGCTCTGTGCACCCTCCCATTCCACCCCAGTGGACAGCCCAAGCAAAAGACTCTCATTATTTTAACCTTTTTTTAGTGGCCTTTTCCTTCCCTCCGATCCTCCTCCCAAACCCCACCCGGGCTACCTTGTCAGTTCTCTCCCTCTTTTTATAATCAATTAATAAAGAATACATGATTTTTAAATGATAGTGACTTTATTTCCATTGAAAGCAAGCTGTGATCGAAGGGGGAGGGTGGGTTGCCTACAGAGAATGAGTCAATAAAGGGGGCGGGTTTTCATCAAGGAGAAACAAACAGAACTTTCACACAGTAGCCTGGCCAGTCATGAAACTGGTTTTCAAAGGTTCTCTGATGCACCACGCTTCCTGGTGTGCTCTTCTAATCGCCCTGGTGTCTGGCTGCGTGTAATCAGCAGCCAGGCAATTTGCCTCAGCCTCCCACCCCGCCATAAAGGTCTCCCCCGTACTCTCACAGAGATTGTGGAGCACACAGCAAGCAGAAATAACAATGGGGATATTGGTTTGGCTGAGGTCTGAGCGAGTCAGTAACGTGCACCAGCGACCTTTTAAACGGCCAAATGCACATTCTATCACCATTCTGCACACCATTCTGCACCATTCAGCCTGTAGTTGAACAGCTCCTGACTCCTATCCAGGCTGCCTGTGTATGGCTTCATGAGCCATGGCATTAAGGAGTAGGCTGGGTCCCCAAGGATAACTATAGGCATTTCAACATCCCCAACGGTTATTTTCTGGTCCGGGAAGAAAGTCCCTTCCTCCTGCTTTCGAAACAGACCAGAGTGCCTGAAGACGTGAGCATCATGTACCTTTCCCGGCCAGCCCACGTTGATGTTGGTGAAACGTCCCGTGTGATCCACCAGTGCTTGCAGCACCATTAAAAAGTAACCCTTGCGGTTTATGTACTGGGTACCCTGGTGCTCCGGTGCCAAGATAGGGATATGGGTTCCATCTATTGCCCCACCACAGTTAGGGAATCCCATTGCAGCAAAGCCATCCACTATGACCTACACATTTCCCAGAGTCACTACCTTTCGTAGCAGCATCTCAATGATTGCTTTGGCTACTTGCATGACAGCAGCCCCAACAGTAGATTTGCCCACTCCAAATTGATTCCCGACTGACCGGTAGCTGTCTGCCGTTGCAAGCTTCCACAGGGCTATCGCCACTCGCTTCTCAACTGTGAGGGCTTCTCTCCCATATTCTCTATTCTGGCGCTTCAGGGCAGGGGACAGCAAGTCACAAAGTTCCATGAAAGTGCCCTTACGCATGCGAAAGTTTCGCAGCCACTGGGAATCGTCCCACACCTGCAACACTATGCTGTCCCACCAGTCTGTGCTTGTTTCCTGGGCCCAGAATCGGCGTTCCATGGATAGAACCTGCCCCATCAACAACATGATCTCCAAAGCACCAGGACCTGCGGTTTGAGAGAATTCTGTGTCCATGTCCATGTCCTCATCACTCTCGTCGCCGCCTCCTCCTTGCTTCGTTTTTCTGGTCCTGGTTCAGCATAAACTGCACGATAATGCGCGAGGTGTTTACAATGTTCATAACTGCTGTCTTGAGCTGAGCGGGCTCCATGCTTGCCATGGTATGGTGTCTGCTGTGTTCACCCAGGAAAAAAGGCGCAAAACGGTTGTCTGCCATTGCTTTCATGGAGGGAGGGGTGAGGCTGTACCCAGAACCACCTGCGACAATGTTTTTTGCCCCATCAGGCACTGGGATCTCAACCCAGAATTCCAATGGGTGGGGGAGACTGCGGGAACTATGGGAAAGCTATGGGATAACTACCCACAGTGCAACGCTCCGGAAATCTACGCTAGCCCCGGTACATGGACGCACACTGCTGAATTAATGTGCTTAGTGTGGCCGCATACATTCGACTTTATACAATCTGTTTCCAAAATTCGAATTCTGTAAATTCAGATTAATCCCGTAGTGTAGACATACCCTCTGCAAATTGGCTTCTACAGCTTAAAATCTCTGTGGGAATGCGCGCTCTGACAGAACACTGTGCCCTAACTGGCAGGCAGCGGCACAGCTGCGAGCAGCGGCACCGGAGGCAGCAAACAGGGCGGCTAACAGGGGAGTTTGAGTGGGAGTTTGCAGGGGGAGGTGGAAGGGGAGGCAGGAGGGCACAGCGCGGTGTGTGCTCTGTGTCCCCAGGTGCTGCGGGCAGAGATTGCAGCAGCCATGAGCCAGGCAACAGCAGACAGGATGCAGATGGCTGCATGTGGAA